TGCCAGGCTCAGGACATGAGTCCGGCCCAGTTGCAGTTGGATGGGATGGTGATGCCCTTCGTTCTGAGGCCACCGAATAGGAGCACCTAGAGTAAGCTCCGGAAACTGGGGCAAAACCCCATGGGTTCAAAAACAGCCACTGGACTAGCATAGGTCCCCAATGATGACCTGACCATGCACTCAATGGTATCCCTGTGCCAGGTACATGGCAGGGTAGGAGTGTCTGGGGGAGCAGCGGGGATGACTCCTCGAACAAGAGGAGTAAGACTAGACCTCCGACTCAGAAGACAACGCCTCTATCCAGTGACCATGGAGGTACAGATTCCACCAGTGCCAGAGACTGGGTGCCATGGTGAAGACGGTACTGAAGGGCCTGGTACTGAACAATGACCAGAACCAATGGGTTCCTTCCTTTTCACCAGCACTGATACAGCTGACTTTTGTACTGCCAGTCAAACCAGAACCAATAGTGATAGAAGGTCTCTGGAAGCAGTGAATGCCTCTGGCATGGTTGGCACTGAGATAATGTAGGTACCACACTATATCACAAATGTAGACTCATCTGGTACCAGACTCGATGGTGCTTGCATGGATGCCTGAGTCAACGATGCGGACTTCTACAATACTGAGACAGAGGAGTGCCCTGACTTAGGTTGCACTCTACTCTGATCCTCATGCCTGGCCGTCTTCAGTGCTGGAGATCATCCCCTCTTGACTAGCTATTTTTTGTACCTTTTCCTCGGCACTGTGGAGGGTGAATGGTGCTGGGACTCTAATACAGTAGGAACAGCATTCCTTACCAATGCCGAGGCATTCTGGGCAGTCAGAGTGGCCTGGCTCAGATGGAGGTCTCAGTGCCACCTCCATGAGCAAAAAACTCAGCCTGGTCTCCCGGTCCTTCTTTGTGCAAGGCTTAAAGTCTCTGCAGATCTGGCAGCAGCCCTCCTTGTGAGATTCTCTCTGGCACTTCAGGCAGATTGAGTGCAGATCACTCAGCCTTGTTGCAGAAAGAGCGGGCTTGAAGCCTGATGACCAAGGCATGCCTGGGCACCGGCTAATGAACAAAAACTCCATTAACTCAGTAAGTTACAAACTTATACTAAAACTATTTAGAAATAAGTGACTGTGTACAAATACACAAAAGACAAGACCACAGAGAGCTTGCCAAAGCAAGGATAACAGTTCTAGCAACTGTCAGAGGCGATAAGAAGGCACTGATGGGGTGCAGGATCAGCTAGGTCCTTTATGCCAGCGCTATAAGCGCGCGGCACCAGAAGGCATTTGAGCTGCCGTGGTGGATACCACTGAGGGAAAATTTTCTGATAACTGTGCTCAGGGTCTGCACACACTTAGAGTGGAATGCACATGTGCAATCACTCAAAGAAGAACTATAAAGATTAAAATGAAAAGATTAATTTATCCTATTGTAAAGATTCCACATATATTTAAGTAAAATCAGTTACTATTGAAGTCTAGCACCATGGCAGCTAAAATGGCTAGATAGGATGCAACAAATAATCAAAGACAACTTTCAGAGGAAGGAAATTATTTGGGGAGGTTTGTGGTGAAGAACCTATATCTGAGCAGCCCCACCAGACAACCTAGGATCCAGTAAAAATGGAAAGGGTATGTGAGTACAAAATACTCAAAATGTTGTAGGGTTTTATGTGTTTGTCTGGACTTTGGGTGGTGAGTTGTTTTCTTTGGTTGGTTGGTTGGTTGGTTGGGATTTTTTGCATCGAACAATTTTTCAATTAAACTTAAAGCGAAACAAAAACAAAACCTTTCTACCTTGCTCATTCAGTTTTAGAGTATGCTGGGTCAAGACAAGAATCATATCTTCATCTGTGACTAGATCCATTGGAACTAAGACTTAAAGCTAGGTGTTGGCAGTGTATTGATGGCCCTGGAGCCTGTAGCACCTAACTAATTGTCCAAGAAGTCTCATATAAATATTGAAAAGGGATGAAGTCAGGATTGATTCTTGTGCAATTCTAAAAGTGAAGACTCTTGGGAGGAGGAGGAGTTGCCCATCACAACTCTCTGACATCTATATAAGAAAAACAGATAATGTAGTTTATCTTTAGTAGCTCGGGAATTGAATGCAAGTCTATGGCACTCATTATTTGATTATATAATAAACTGCTGATATACCCAACATACTATCAGGACTGAAATTTTCCCTCTCTCCATTGCCACAAGGAGGGCATCTATGTAACAGAATAGTCTCAGTGCCTTTTCCTCATCTGAAGCATCGCTGTAAAGTCTCTAGTATACGGACACTGATTAAAATGATGCACTTCTCAGAAGCCTCAACTAAGAAAAGTGAACAGAGGAAGGCAGGAGAAATGTGGAATTTCCATTGTTATTTTGTCACAACCTTAAATGTTATTTTGAAGCATTTTTTCTATTAAGTTTATTCCTTTTAAAACAGTACTATATTAAAGAACTAGACTGGAAAGAGAAATAAAGCCCATCATTTATTATTTTCATTTTCACTTCTGTTTTCTCCATTTCAACAAATTGAAAGTGGTTCCCAAGAATGTCAGTTGTAAAAACAAAAATCAAACAACATTCTTTTTACATAATTATTTCTTTTTTTAAAATACTGGTTTCAATCCAAGTTGAATTTTTAATGGTCAAGCTATAAACTTATTAATGACAGTGCTGAAATGTGGGCATTGCTATAGAAAATCCTGTCTAAAGCAGAAAAGCACAAGTGGCAATATGGTAACACAACAAGATAGTTAGATATATGAAACACAGACTCAAAGACAAAGAGAAGAGAGTAAAGATATGGACAGCGAACAGGAAACAATCTTTTATACTACAGCCAAGTTGATGTGAGAGTCCCATGTGATCAGCCCAGGCATTAGTGCTTTGTAAAAGCATGTAATGACTCCAAGTTGCTCCCCTCAAGGGGTGAAACTGACCTGAGACTGGTTATCATTGCTGCCACAATTCTGGTAAAATGAGCTTTAATTTAATCCTCAAGTGACAATCCCAAGAAACACACAAAGATAACTAGAGTATTTTAAAATAATTCTTCAGAACTCTAACAGACCTAATATGTTGGTATCAAAAGGAAAAAAAAAATTAGGGCCTTTTCAAGGGTTTATATCTATTCAAAGTAGAAATCAAGACATTTTGTTAAATCCACTTTGTGAAGCACGGCCTCTCCAATACTAGAAGGAAAGATAGGAAAGTCCACTGGTGAAATGATTAACTGATGCGACACTCAGACACAACCTTAAAAAAAAGCCAACCTCTAAGTACACATACCATCTGATCTTTATCAGACCTAATGAAGGGTAGATCACTAACTATTCCTACTAGATAAGTTTGTGTTAGGACAATTTTTTAAACAGAAGTTGTGATGGCCCTCATGATTTAAAAAGCTCTCTGTGCTCTAACAAGGACAGAGTTCATAATCCATAACTGAGGAAAATGTTCTTTAATTATTTTTTCCTTTAATACATAACACTTATAGATCCTAAACAAAAACTCTCACCAAATTAGAGTTAAGGTTACTAAAGTAATTCACACAGCCCTAATGCAAAATGTATAACTAACATTAAAAAGACCAGAATGACCTGTTTACACTGTTACCTAATTTCTGTCATCCTTACAGTGCATATATTCAGTTAACTTCAGTGTTGATGTGAAAAATCACCTTAGACATTCACAAAGAAGGTGTCTTGACTTTGACTCACAAGTCATATTTAAGAATACTTCAACACAAATAAGTCTGAATTATATAATTAGAAGGGTATAGAGAGTTTGTAAGCACATTACACATCATCTACATTGCCAGGCCTAGAAGTTCACCTTGTGTACCTGGTATATACATTATAATATACCTATGTTTTCCCCAGTGTCAAGCTAAGTGTGCAGGAAGAGCATTCCACTGTTACTCACCTCCTAGTGTGCACAATAGAGCTCCTCTCCTTCCAGCCTTAAGGAGGAATATGGCTCTCCTCCTGGCTCTTACTCAGGTTTGCAAGAGTGTGAAAGTTCCCTACTTCATTCCTTTAGAAGTGTACACATGAGCTTATGTTTCCAACCTAATGAGATAATTAGCAGTGTAGTTAGCAGCTCCACTTTTTATTCCTCTCTCAGAAGAAAAGACATTTGAAATTTTAGATGCCAGAGTTTTAACATCTAAAATGTTAGATGAAGGTATCTGAAAAACAAGTTAGTATTCTTTGGCTTTTATGATGCTATTAATATCAGTTTTGAAGAAAAATGGTAATAAAAATTAATTTAAAAAGTTTGTCAAACTAAATCTTCTCTCATAAATTTCAACATTTAAAAAGAAGGCATTAGAGGGTTGTGAAAAAATGTTAGACACCAGCCATAAATGTTTTAAAAGTAACTATTTTAGCTTTCTGGTGTTCTTAAATTGCTGAATATATTTCCTTGCAAATTTCCAAAATATTAAATTTCTCCCTAACAGTGGGGTAACTTGGCTATGATCATTGGTTGTTTTTATGCCTAACAAAGTGGAGCTTTAAGTCCTTTTTAACTAAAAACCTGAATGTAACCTTAAAAATTTAATTACTACCAACACATAGTGTTAGGTATAAAAAGTAAAAAAATGTTGGTGTTGTTTAATATGTTTAATTAGGTATTTTAATAATGTATTTCTGAAGTAACTGTAAGTAAATCACTAGCTTCAATAGAATTTACTATGGAGTATATGAACTATGACCCCTGGACTCCATCTTTGTAAGCAAACTTCTTTACAACTTAAACAATGGAGTTCTCTGGCTCAAACCGGACTGAACCAGCTTTTCCCGCCAGAGCCAACCCCCAACATTTTATTCCCTCAAAATTTTTCCCGCCTTAGAGAATATATATTCCAGGGGCAGCGCATGCACGGTCAAGTCTGCCCAACTCTCCAAAGCTAGAGAGAAGAGTACCATTTATCCCGCAGCAAGGTTGAGAAAGGAACGGCCTGTCATCACTATCCCCGCCACAGCAAACCGAATCCATTTTACCTGTGGAGGGTCCTGCTTTCCCGGTGTCCATAATCCCAGAGGGTCTCCCTGCCTGCGACGAAATCCAGCAGTCATCGGGACTCCACAGCGGTCCTCCTCAAAGGCTTCCAATTAGCTGGAGAGTAGAAGGTCCTGGGCCTCGCGTCTGTGCATAGTGTCCACTGCGTCTAAATCGTAAGAAAGGTTTCTGTATTGAGGTTTCATTTATTGTTTTTCTGAATGCCAAGGGAGGTTTTGTTGGTCTGAGCTTCAAGCTCCTAGAGCCAGTCGCCACTGTACAGTTAAGTTTGTGTTTCATCCCCCGCCGCCGTTTTCCCAGTTACCTTTACTCTTAATCACTTACCTTTGTTTGCACCATATTACCTTGTCTTTTCTTCATTTTTATTACATCATACAGGGAGGGAGGGACACCCTTATTGTAAGCTAAATCCACAGGCGACAGATATGGAAGGGAGTCGAGTCTGTCCTTCTGAGAAAAGAGTCTTTCCTTTTATCTCCCCTCTACCATTTCTAAGTTTTCCTTTCTGAAGCGTTGCTTTATTGCCCTTGAGGTAACAATAGTAAGCAACAAATACAGATCTATTTTAAGAAGAATGATATATTAACACACCTTTAATAAGTTGCTAAATACAAAAAAATCTTGTGTAAGAAAATAAACTAGACCTCAAGTGTCTTTTTAATTCCCTTTCTCATGAACAATTTGGGACCAACATCCACTCATTCTCAAAACTAATCCATGTCTGATTTAAAAAAGTGTATTGGTTCATGTGATCAATTAATGTAGATTACAAAAACTATTCATGGGACTCTTAAGCAATATCAAGAACTTCTGTACAAGAGACTTCTAAAAAAGGTTCATGCATCAATCTTTAGTCACACAGCCTTTGCTTTAGCAATAATTTGTTTTATGTTGTAATAACATATACTTTTTGGTACATCACTACGTGATCCAAAATATATATATTGTCAAATCATAAATTAGGGTGTAAACTGTTTCTTTAAAATAGGGATTGAAGTCAAGCTTAGTACCTCATACATAACACAAATTCTAACTATGCTCCTTTGTGTAGATTCACCAAAGGAGACTTCCCTCAGAGAGAGCAAGGTTCTGCTTTTCTCTGCTCGTTGTGCTCCACGTAAAGTAAATGACCATCCATCCAAATATAATTTTATTAATAATAAAGATAATTTTATAAAGATAAATCAGGTTTTCTCACCTTCCATTTTGTTAATGGAGAACTTCACCACTGCCCACCACCCAAAGCAACCATTTGCAATGTTTCTCTCTTGCCACAACCTCAGAGGGTATGTCTACACTGCAGCTCAGAGCAAACCTCTCAGCTCAGGTAGACATACACGCTAGTGGAGGCTGATGTCAGCACACTAAATATAGCTCTGTTGACATTGTGGCACCTACAGAGGCTCAGGCTAGCCCATTGATCCAAGTTCAAGTAGCTAGGGTAGGCTTGAGCTTGGGTGGCTGTTCTGAGCCTCTACCAGTGCCGCAACATTCACACTGCTATTTTTAGCTCACTTACTTGAGTTCCTCTAGCATAACTCTGTCTACCCAAGCTGAGAGGCTCAGTCTCAGCTGCAACATAAACATACCCAGACCAAGGCATATGCCAAGAAATCATCGTATTTGGATCTGGCTGGTAATTGCATGGAAAGCCATAAAAAAAATTGCATGCCCTCCAATAAGTGTGTGATTAATGACTGGATTAGTGTCCCAGCGTATAACAGACTGCAGCATAGATGAGTAACATTCATTTGATCTTTAGGTTGCAGAATAATTAATAATGGTGACTGTACAACCTATCCTGAAGGACGATCCCTCACTCTCACAGACCTTGGGAAACAGGCCAGTCCTCACTTACAGACAGCTCCCCAACCTGAAGCAAATAACCACCAGCAACGACACACCACACAACAAAAACACCAACCCAGGAACCAAACCCTGCAACAAACCCCAGCGCCAACTCTGTCCACATATCTATTCAAGGGACGCCATCATTGGACCTAACCACATCAGCCACACCATCAGGGGCTCGTTCACCTGCACATCTACCAATGTGATATATGCCATCATGTGCCAGCAATGACCCTCTGCCATGTACATTGGCCAAACCGGACAGTCTCTACGCAAAAGAATAAATGGACACCAATCTGACATCAGGAATTATAACATTCAAAAACCAGTAGGAGAACACTTCAATCTCCCTGGTCACTCAATAACAGACCTAAAAGTGGCAATTCTTCAACAAAAAAACTTCAAAAACAGACTCCAACTTGAAACTGCAGAACTGGAATTAATTTGCAAACTGGACATCATCAAATTAGGCCTGAATAAAGACTGGGAGTGGTTGGGTCATTACAAAACCTAATTTCCCCATACTAATTTTCCCCTACTATTACTCACACCTTCTTGTCAACTGTTTGAAATGGGCCACTCTCATTACCACTACAAAAGTGATTTTTCCTCCCTTGGTATCCTACTGTTAATTGAATTGTCTCATTAGACTGACCTCCTACTTGGTAAGGCAACTCCCATCTTTTCATGTGCTGTGTATTTATACCTGCTACTGTATTTTCCACTCCATGCATCTGATGAGGTGGGTTCTAGCCCACGAAAGCTTATACCCAAACAAATTTGTTAGTCTCTAAGGTGCCACAAGGACTCCTCGTTGTTTCTAATTGGGGAGTAGTGCATATAGCCAGAGGATCCTTCCCAGATAACAGAGACTCAGCACCGGGCCACAAGCCATCGTGGCAACTGCATCACAGCCTGGCCCAGAGACCTCACCACCAGCGGTGTCTATAACCCGGGAGTCCTGCCAATAGCAGGGGACCAGTCTCAGAAAGCAGGGACTCAGCATCAGGCTGAAACCATGCATCAGACCTTGACTGTGTTTAGTTTGTAAGGGGTTTTTTTTATAATCTTATGCACCTGCCACTCATGCACGGCTCTCATGATACCACTCTTCTGCACCATAACATCTGTCCTTCTCCTACTGCCTCTCTTTCCCCATTGGATTCATCTCCCATTAATGGTTACACATACTCCTCTACAGTTCACACTGCCTCTACTTGCTCCTTATCCCCTGTCCACCCTGATCTCCTCCCTCCTCCAACCAGCACAAATCAAGGTCCCACATCCGCAGGCTCATCCTCACCTCTGATAACATTTGCCCCAATCCTGGCTCTCCTTCAGGTCTCACCTCCTACACCCAACCCTGCCATCACTACTGCTACTCTCAAGCCATCATTCCTAACCTTATGCTCATTCCCCTTCTTTATTCCTCCCTGCTCCCCTTCTCTTGCTGTCTCTATTTCAAAAAAAGATCACAGCCATTTATAACCTATTCATCTCATTCCTAACAGGTCCTGTTTCTCAGGGAGACCTGGATACCTTTGTCTGACTTTGCCTCTTCAGTTGCCCTCTATTACAGAAACCTGTTCTTCTCTCATGCTCCCTGCACTGGATCAGACTATGGTGGGGGTGTTAGGCTTCTTTTCTCCTGTTTCTGCTGCTTCTATAGATTCATGGATGCCAGGGCCAGAAATGACCATTTTGATCACCTCCTCTGACCTCCTGAATAACACAAGCCATCGAACTTCCCCAAAATAATTCCTAAAACAGATCTTCCTCAAAATAATTCCTAAAACATGACCCTTGGTAAACTGTTCCAATGGTTAATTACCCTCACAGATAAAAATTAATACTCTCTTACTAGTTTACATTTGTCTAGCTTCAACTTCCAGCCTTTGGATCATGTTATAACTTTCTCTGCTAGACAAGACTACAGAGTCCATTATTAAATATTTGTTCTTTGGGAAGGTACTTATAGACTTATAGATGAGCTATTACCAGCAGGAGAGTGAGTTTGTGTGTGTATGGGGGTGGGGGGGATGTGAGAAAACCTGGATCTATGCAGGAAATAGCCCGACTTGATTATGTAAAGAGTTGTCACTTTGGATGGGCTAGCACCAGCAGGAGAGTGAATTTGTGTGGGGGGGTGGAGGGTGAGAAAACCTGGCTTTGTGCTGGAAATGGCCCACCTGTTGATCACTTTAGATAAGCTATTACCAGCAGGACAGTGGGGTGGGAGGAGGTATTGTTTCATATTCTCTGTGTGTATATAAAGTCTGCTGCAGTTTCCACGGTATACATCTGATGAAGTGAGCTGTAGCTCACGAAAGCTCATGCTCAAATAAATTGGTTAGTCTCTAAGGTGCCACAAGTACTCCTTTTCTTTTTGCGAATACAGACTAACACGGCTGTTCCTCTGATACTTATAGACTGTAATCAAGTCACCCCTTAAACTGCTCTTTATTAAGCTAAATAGTTGGAGCTCTATGAGTCTATCACTTTAAGGCATGTTTTCTAATCCTTTATACATTCTCCTGGCTCTTCTTTGAACCCTCTCCAATTTAGGAATATCCTTCTTGAACTGGGCACACCAAGACAGGACACAGAATTCCAGCAGCGGTCAAACCAGTGCCAAATACAGAGGTAAAATAACCTCTCTACTCCTGCTTGACACTCCCATTTATGCATTCAAAGATTGCATTAGCCCTTCTGGCCACAGTGTCGCTCTAGAAGTTCTGGTTCAGCTGACTATCCACCACAACCACCAAATCTTTTTCAGTCACTGTTTCCCAGGATAAAGTCCCCCATCCTGTAAGTATGGTGTATTCTTTGTTCCTAGATGTATGCATTTACACTGAACCATCTTAACATATATTGTTTGTTTGCACGCAGTTTTCCAAGTGAACCAGATCATTCTGAATCAGTAATCTTCTTCATTATTTATTACTCACCCCCAATTACTGTGTCATCTGAATACTTTATCAGTGATGATTTTATGTTATCTCCTAAGTCATTGACAAAAATGCTAAATAGCATAGGACCAAGAACCGATCGTGGAGGGACCCCACTGGAAACACACCTGCTCAATGATAATTCCCCATTTACAATTACATTTTGAGACCTATAAGTTAGACATCTTTTAAGACATTTAATAGATGCTATGTTCGTTTTATATTGTTCTAGTTTTTTAATCAAAATGTTGTGTGGTACCAAATCAAATGCCTTAGTCTAAGCTTATTACATCAACATTATTGCCTTTATCAACCAAACTTGTAGTCTCATCAAAAAAAGGTATTA